ATTGCTTGATCATGTTTATGATTATTCTTTTAAATTCAGTGTCCTGGGTTATCTTTAGGGGTTCTCTTTGTAGAACTCTTCTACAGGATTGGTGGAGTTTGGTGGTGACATAGTGGTTTGGCTTTCCAATTTATGATTCTTTTGTTATTATTTTGGCATGTGAATTACTTTTATTGTTTACGATTCTGATGAGAATTAAGTTGAAGTATGCTTCTGTTTGTATTATTCAAGTGCCTAGATCCTTTCTTTATTGGTTATGTAAAGGTGGTTGGTACAGGTTTCAATTTCTCTCAGGTTCAATTTGGAGGAAAGTGATGGCCTCAGAGTAGCTATTCAGAAGCACCCACAGAAGCCCAATGCAGGTTCCAGTCAGGTACACTCTGGCTTCCTTCACCACATAGAGGCCAGATCTGGGCACTTAGGAGGTCCTCCCTCTCAAGTTGTCTGCTAGAATTTCAGTCTTAGCCTACCAAAGCCAGATCTGCCCTGGGGCCTTCAGAGGGACCTCACAAAATCCCAGGTAGAGGGATGGTGTGGTGCAATTAGGGGAAGCTCACCACCACATGGAGGCTGGATCCAGGGGCTCTCAGGCTGTCCCCTGTGTTTTCAACCCCTCTGTCAGAGAGAGGACAGAGGGAGACAAGAACTTGGCACTCTCTGGCAGTCTGCTGAGATCAGAGCTACTGTATGATGGAGGTCAGAACCTACCCTCTCAGACTGTCTGCTAGGATCTCATTATTTCTTACCTCATTTTTTCCTTATCTTAACTCTCCTAGATATTTATTTGTTATTTTGATCAGAAATACTTGTATGAGCAATCTCAGATTCTTTGGGGGAATAGTCAAGTAAGTCAATAAAGAGTAGAGTTAATATTTAATAAAAATTAAAAATAAATACATGTGTCATTTTCAAAAATAGCTTGTGTTTTGGAATATCTGTCTGTTATTCTGGATATTTGTGCAAGGTGCCTCTAACGAATACTATCAACATTTTCTGACAACCTCAAAGATAATATGGTATTACTGCTTGTCAGAATGGACAGCTTATGGAAAATTAAAGATCAAAATTAGGGTTTTTGACTGTGAAAGTGAACAAGAAAATATGGACCCCTGCAGTCATGTGTTTTTGCTTAATGTTAGGATTCTGAGATACTGTATCTACTAAGAAGCCTGAACTTCATAGGAATTCACTGTGGCACTATTCTGTTTGGTGTGTTGGTCAAAGTCAGGATAAGCAGAAACATTTTATTAACTTAACCTCTCACAATGTAAAAATGTTTAAAGAACATTATACTTAACGCTGTGGGTCTTTTAAGTATAAAAATGACTTTAGCTACTATTATAGGCAATAGCTGCATAAATGGTATGAAATTCCTTGACTTGTTGACTAAGATGTGTGGCAATATCCTCACAAATTTTGCCAGCAACTAACTTCCTCCTAGGCAATATGAATCAGTCAGTATACACAATCTCCAAAAATTCTTATAACAGTAACAAGAAAATAGTTATCTCATTATATAAACTTTTTAATATATGAAAAGATGTAAATGAATAGTTTCCATAATTCTTTGAGCAAAGGTCAGCAAGGAAAAAATAGGTTTATTCATTAAACTTCCCTTTATAAGCTCAGCACTTATAATTCCATCAAATCACTAACAAATTTGGTATATTTTGTATAGTGTGTTCTGACCTTCATCTTGAAAACACAATTCAGTCAATTAATTAAGAATTATAAGGGTATAAAAGGATACATACATGAAGAGTCTAATCCAAAGAAGTTAAAAGACTATTCAAATTTTCCCCATGTTACTAAGGTCAAAGCCAAGGCTAAAATTGATCTGTAGATTCTGAGTATTAGACTTTGTTTATTGTGTACACATGCACTGCACTTTGACTTTCATGTTTTAATAGGTAATTTGAGTGCTTTCTTATTGTAATAAGACTTGCTTATTAGAGAGTCATTAAATTTGGGGGCCTCTGAGTTTCTCCATCAGTAAAGATAATGACAAAGTAAACTATTACATCACAGTTACCTACTGTTTTTGGAAAGATATAAAGGTCATTAAAATGAACTCCAACAAAATTTGGATAGTCTAATGCATGCATCAGTTATTCCCTTCATTTTTCTTTTTCCAAATTGTGCATCCTCAGTAACATAAGCACATGTTCTGTCTCTTAGCCAAAGACAGAATTGGTTAGAAAAAAAGTTAGTTATCTGAATAAAAGATTAGCAATTCAAAAAAATAGCATCTGTTATTGTTGAAATAAATGAGAACTACCTTTAAATGATTAGAATTAGAATAAGCTTAGCAGAAATGGGAAATTCATTGAAAAAAGTAGATTTTGATACCTACCCTGCTGTATCTATGAAGAAGTACTGTGGTGTCAATGACCTCATCTAGAAGCAGACAAGAGTGTCTATAGACTTAATCCACTGAGCAGATGTACATTGTGTATCCTGCCTCTAAGTTCAATTTAGTTTTTCAAAGAATAATCATTGCTTAATTTATAACACTGATAATAGCATCAGGTAAGGCCTGCATACTGGAATCATTTATACCTTTATTTGATTTCCCAAGCAACCGTTTTCTGAGCTTTGCATCTCAACATTTTCAGCAACTTTGTATTCTAAGACTTAATACTAATATTAAGATGTATGTATTTAGATGTATGTATTTAGGTCACAATTTTCTTGTGCATAGAAAGTGAGAAATATTAACAAAGTATAATACCCAGAGAAACGTTTATGGGAATATTCCTCTTAACAGGGCTTTTATGAAATCCTATATCCATAAAGACAAACCGTAATGGTGTAGAGAGAATTGATCTGTATTTATGGCATAATATTGAATCTAAAATTGTGCTTTTATATTTGTATCTAGTAATAACAGCGCTAAGATTTTTAATATGAAAAATATTAAATGAGAAAAGTTTTGTCTTTTGGGATTCAAAGGCCTTTATCTAATCTCTCTGTGATTCCAATTTTCCAGTCCCAGTAAAGCATCTAGCATTTTAGAACCCATCCTCAGATTTATTCTTGGATTCTTTACTTACATTAATTGTCAAATGATTCAGTATCTCAAAGTTCATGTTTAAAAGGATACTTTAATTTTAAAACTATTGATTAAAAATATAAAGTTAATCCTACAAGTCTCTACTGGGTTGTAGATTTGAGACCCAGACAAGGAATACATACTTTTTTACTCTTTTTTTTTTTGTTTTTAAAAGGTTTATTTATTAATTTTCATTTTATGTGTATGAACATTTGCCTACATGTATGTATCAGCAAGGCCAGCAAGTATTCCTAACTGTTGAACCATTTCTCCAACTCCTGTGAGGTTTATTTGAAATAAGTCTTCCTATATAGCCCAGATTAATATGGAACTCACAATGCTCTTGTCTCTTGAGATTCTTGAAAGTGAGGAAAAGAAGCTGCACTTTTACCTTTTTGGAAACAAGAGTTTCAAAAGAATGAGCAAAATGTTAGTTGTTTAGCATATTTCAGCTTATTGGCTGCTTTCTAGTGTTCTGTTTATTAAGATTCCACATTCTCTATGAGCTGCTCTGGCATTGAACTTTGAAAGATAAAGTTCTCTTTTCACTTAGGTTTCCCAAAGAATCTTTGGTATTCAGGAGCTACTTTTAGGAGCAATATTCTTTCTCATTATGAAGAGCTCTCCTGTGTCCTTTTACAAGTCGTTACAACCTGCCATACATGATTTCAGATTAAACTGACAACAGCAAAAAAATGTATAAACAAGTAGTTTGCTGGATTCTGATTTCTTAAAATATATATAACCAAATACATATAGTTTACAATTCCTAATGCAGGAAAGAATGCATGAAGATAGCCAAAATTACAGTTAGAAAATAGATTCCCAAGAGTTTTACCAATAATCACAATTGTAATTATAACCATGACTGTTGCCAGAGCTATGCATTTTGGCTTTGAACGTTACTTTCAGGTATAAATATATGATTTTTCTGAGTTGGTGTCCATCAAAAACTAAATGGTCACAGTCTTGAACTAAATTTGCCAGTGTTTAGTTGAGACACCACATCTTGTTATACAGGGAGAAGCTACATAAAATGACTTTTTGACTTTACGCTACACATTAAAGATTGTTATAGGTGATTTTTCTATATTTTAAAACATAAAAGTGGGAGTGGTAGCACACCTTTAATCCCAGCACTCAGGAGGCAGAGGCAGACAGATCTCTTTTGAGATCAAGCCCAGCTTAATGTACACTGGAAGTTCTCAAAATAATAATAATAATAATAATAATAATAATAATAATAACAATAACCCAAATCCAAAAACACAAAACCCAAAACAAAATCAACCATGGACATAAATATTTTTAATACTGAGCCTATATTGAACATATGAAGATTTTTCTCTTGTCATTCCCTACAATGCAGTAAAACAACTATTCACTAAGAATTTACATTGCATGTGGTATAAGTACTCTAGAGATGATTTAAAGAATGAAGAGGAATATGTATGGGTTATAGGCTAAAACTACCCATTGTATATAAGGGACTCAGACATCCTTAGATTATGGTATTGGGATACTAAGAATGAATTCCAGGGGCTGCAGAGATGGCTCAGTGGTTAAGAACACTTGTTCTTGCAGAAGACCCAGGTTTGAATCCTAGCACCCACATGGCAGATAACAAGTGTTTGTAACTCCAGTTCTGGGGGATCTGATAGCCTCTTCTGTCCTCCGTGGGCATTGCATGACACAGGTGCACTTACCTACATGCAGGCAATACACACATACATACAAAATAAAAAAAAATAAAATATTTTTTTAAAAAAGAATGGATTCTACATTCATACTTGAGATGACTGGATATTTCTAATTTCTCTAAATAATTCAATTCAAAATCTTTATATTCATGGTAAATACAAATATGTAATTAAGCATATGAGAAAAGTATTATAGAAGGTTTTGTGTGTTCTCATGTGTTTAGAGTATACCTCTTTTTGCATTTCAGAACTCTTGAAACTGAACAGAACATCAATATTTCATAGCCCTTTTGGATTTCTTGATCTTCACACAATGCTGCTGGATGAATATCAAGAACGACTCTTCGTAGGAGGCAGAGACCTTGTCTATTCCCTGAACTTGGAACGGATCAGCGATGGCTACAAAGAGGTACTGAAATATCCACTGTTTGAAGAGGGAAAGCAGAGGGGAAGGTTACAGAGATGTCTCCTGACTTAATTTTTTTCATTGTGTTTACTACTTTAAAATTTGCAGTGATTAATTTATTGGCATAAAATCCTTATTAGAATAAATAATTTGGGAAAATTTTTCTACAGATTCATATATGAAATTTTCTATCATACAGCTCACATCCAGATTTCCAGATTCTTTGTTTGGGAGTTGATGTTCTTGGAAAATGATTCTTGTCACCATACCCAATATATTAAGACCTCAATTGAAGGATGGTAAAGTATCAGCAGTACTTCTGAGAGGTTTGTTCCAACATCCGTGCTTGAAAAAATATGGATGTGCGATGTCAATACAGCTCCCTCCTGCAGTTCTCTTGATAATATTGCTAACTCAGATGGGTACTATTGAGGCCTGATGGATTAATGCAGAATATTAAAATAAGTAGGAGCTTAATATGATAGAAATGGTTAAATGTGTAAAGGAGAAAAACATACAAAACAAAATTAGGTGAAGTTTTTCAAAGTTATAGCAAATTTACATGAAACATACAGAGACTTAGATCATAGTTTTTGGCATAAGGGTGTCTATGATATAATCGACTGTTTATGTTTTATTTTATGTTCACCAATGTGAGCCAAGTCCATGTTTATAAAATTCTTTTTAAACTATGACAAAAAGCAGCACTCCCTCATCGTTGCCATATCCTAATCCCCAGAGGAAATAACTTAAAATGTTTCTCTCTTTCTTCTGGATCTTACTTCTTTACTTCTATGTAAGATTCATGTATTAAGAGCTGGGGCCATAGCTTAGTGGGAAAGCAAATAGCTAGCGTGCATAAGATCTTTGATTCAATCACAGCATTCTTCCTTGCTCCAGAAATACAAAAGACAGCATTTGTGTACTGTCCTTCATTGACATATTTGGTGTTTGAATTTAAGCGGTATCTGTTAACTTTAGGGAAGATGAAGATACTGCCTTCTTCTCTTTGAATAGAGAAATGCAAATATCTGTGTATCAACCATAAGTCACCTATTCTTCACCTTCCCAATACAGTTATGCTGAATGTTTTGCTTAAATAATAATTAGATGTTTACAGTATTATAACTATGAAGATAACTCATAATATCTTAGTTTTCCTTCCTCCCTCCCTCCCTTTCTTTCTTTCCTTTTTTTCTCTGCTTCTCCCGAAAAGGAAAAGCACCCCTTATATCACGCTTTGGTTTTTATGCTACTTTCACTGATTGTTCTCACCAGCTTCTACTGCAATTTAGATCACAGTCATCTACGTTGACTTTTAGACTTTTTGCAATATAATGGAGCATGTGCTATCTTCTGTGCCTGCTACCTGTGTAGAGCCTCAGTTTCTCAGGCCTCAGTCAGTTTCTGGATTTAGTCTGGCATTTTGCTGAAGCATCACTTTGCCTGCCTTCTTGAAGAAAAGTTCAAAGTCTGATTTTTTTTTCTTTTCTTTTCCCCATTCCTTCTTTAGCATATATTTTATTTTTAAAGTGTGTGTGTGTGTGTGTGTGTGAGAGAGAGAGAGAGAGAGAGAGAGAGAGAGAGAGAAGCATGGAAGGAAGGATAGATAGAGGAAGGGAGGGAGAGAGGGAGGGAGGGAGAGAGAAAGGGGGGGCTGGTGTCCATCGAGGCCAGAACAGTGTGTCAGATGCCCTGGCGTTACAGGTGACCCTAAAGTGCCCAATGTGGGTCCTGGGAAACAAGCTTAGGTCCTCTGGATGATTAGCAAGCACAACTGAGCAATTTCTTCAGTTCAAAAGTCATATTTTGATGTTTCGATCTTCTGTTCAAATTTCACATGTAATTGATAGCTATAAAACTCTAGATTGAAAATTATTTGACTGTGGATTTTGAAAATTATACCTGATATTCGCAGTTCAGTGAGAAGCAGGTTGCCATCCTGATTTCAAATATTGAAAACTAACTCGCCTCTTTCCTGCTTCTGTCCTGACCCATGCACTGAAAGGCCTGCTTTCAATTCTGTGTTGTAAAATGTTCTCTTATGTCTTTTAGTCACTATCATTCTCATCCAGTGTGCTGAAACACAATGGGCCTGCCTACATGGGACACTGTGGCCTCAGTTCTAGACAATGTTTGTTATTTCTTTCACATTTTTTCCTTCAATCCAGTCTCTCTTTGACTTTTTCTGGGACTCAGAATTTTGTACTTTATTGTCTGGCCTTGAAGCTCACTCTAAGTATAAATTCCTCCTCTCAAATTCATCTTCATCTTCCTCCCTGCCCCTCTGGATTTCTAATTTCTAGAGCCCTATTTCATGAGTCAGCATGTTCACTGAGTCCCCTTACCTTGCCTGCATTTAGATTTCCACTTCCTATGTGTAAAAACAGCCTACATTTATCCATATGTTTTAGATTCTAAAATGTTGCTACATTTCTTTGGTGTGTGCTTTATTTTCCCTGTTTGAGTTGTACATTTTAATCATTTTACTATCCTTTTATTGATGGTATGGAGTAGAAGCAAACATTTTCATCCTAAGTAGTTCCTTTATTTCCAGCATCTTTAACCTTATTTTCTCCATGGTACTCTTTTAACATTTGTCAGAGGCAGACTGACATCTCTTTCTGTCCACATGCTTTTGTATGTGGACACACACACAAAGACACATACACACAGCCTCTTTATGGTTAAGTTTTATGGATTATTCCCCCACTTACTGGATGGTCTCTTTCCCATCTCAACCCTGATTCTTTGTTTACTATTGGTAATATAATATACTTATTAAAATTTTCTGTGAAGGAATATGTAAACTAGAAATAAAAAAAAAATAAGCCAGATCATAAAGAAATGGTCCTGTCAACAGCCAGGCATGAATATGGAAAGGAATCAGGAGGCCCTACTCAACACTGCTGAAGTATTTGCTACTGATAGAATCAGAGGGAAGAAGATTCATTGTCTCCTACTGTATACTCACTAGAGACAGGCTCCAATGGACACTTCCAATCCGGTTCACATAGATGACTCTGGTTAAACTAAATGGGCCACAAAATGGCCCTCAAAAGTCATGAATCTAGGAAAGGGACTGGTATGGATGAGATGGGAGGGGTCAGTGAGGATGGGAGAGAGATAAGAAAGGGTTAGAGAAAGTAATCAGAATATATTATATACTTGTATGAAATAGTCAAAAACAAAATTAATTGATCAAACATAAGCCAGAACAAACTTTCTATTAAATTGCTTAGTGTGAGGGCCAGGGAGATGGCTCAGATGGTAAAAAAAAAAAAAAAAAGCCCTTGGAACTTCATAAGTGAGGACTGACTTTCCAAAATTGTTCTCTGAATTCCCCATGCATGACATGGCACATATGTGTCTCCACTTACACATATAACACACACACAAGATAATAAATAAAATTGCTTATATATAAATACTTAAGATGTTCAAAGAGATCCATTCCCTTAGGATATCAGTAATATTTGCTTGCATTGCAGAAATGGTTCTTAAATTGTCACCCATGGACCATGATCAGTTCCTTTCATAGAAAGGTCCTTGGAATTTATAGCCAGCTTCTGATGACACAGAATCTCATACCAATTTTCCTGTGCTACGTTTCCTATGGGTACAAAGAGACCAAGAGGCAGCAGTTCCCAGTCTAAGAGGATTCCCTTTCAGAGTAAGGAAAATCAAATCTCCAATGAATTCTCATTTATTTTTTAGGCCTAATTGTACCCTCAGGCCTTGAATGCCAGAATATGAGCTTTTATGGAGGAAATGACCTGTGAAAATGATAGGAGTAGGAGACCTGGAGCACGATGGGATTTTATGAACTGCCTCCTAAAGAGCTAATAGAGCAGCGTGAGGCCATTGAGCTTCAGGGTGTGTCTAGCAAGGATGCCAAGCAAAGTAGCTAGAAAGCAATCAAATCGAATATATTCCCTACACTGAAGGAGAAACTTTGATTCTGTTGGACATAAGGCTTATATGTTCTAGGAGGCCTTTTCAATATAGTTAATTCAAATATGCATGTCAACACTACAAAGGCCCCTCTCAGGTCCACAACAGGAGCAGGTCTCAGGGAGCAGCCCTGCGGCTTATGCTTCCTCAGCCTCCAAGGTAACTTTATCTGTCTAATTTCTTATGCCATTCTTTCCCTGCCTGTTTCTCTCAAACAATTAGCAATAAAACTCTCAGTAGGCCCCATTTGGTTGTTTCCAGTTACAGAAGTCTTCATAGACCTTCTGTTTAAAGGAGAGGGTTTAATAGGAGTTGAATTCTTTGATGGTCTATGAAAATCCAATGTGTCTCCTTTTGGCCAAGCTTTCCCCCATCTTGTCTAGTTGTTGCTCTATGGATAAATCTGCAGTTATATTTTCAATTCCTCCTGCTTTGCTTTTTCTCTCTATCCATGCTTTTCCAGTGCTGGGATACTAAATTCTGCCATTTTGAACAATTCTCAGTTGAGTAGAGTGATGTTCTGTGTGTGGTAGGATGTTGAACTACACTCCTAGTCTTTGACCTAATACATGCCAGTAGTTTGCAAATGGTCTCCAGTGTTGTGATGAACGAAAAATGTCTCTGATCATTGCCAGATATCCCCCAGGAGACAATATCACCCTGAGTCAATGTGCTGCATCTGTAAGCAGGATCTAGACTATCCCACTGAACACACACACACACACACACACACACACACACACACACACTAGCTATGTATCAACCTAGTTAAACACTTCCTACCTTCTGCTTTTCAAATCAAGCAATTTGGTGAGAACATACTTAATTTCCATGGTTGCCTTTTGTTTTCCGTGATTTAATGCTGTTTTGTAGATTCGATCAAATTAATTTTTCCTGTTGGCTATTTGCTGTTAGAGATGGAAGAAAAACTATGGAGTACAGCACTGATGTTGAAGTTCAAAGCCTGATTCTGCATATATAACCTGAATAAATTTCTTGTGTTTCTTTTACTCATGTATACTAGGCAAATATTAGTCCATTCTGCATAT